TCAAGCTGAGACACATTGCAAGCAACGATTGTGGAGTGGCATCGTAGGGGGACGAGTGCCTTGAAGGGGCCCGTGCGCCTTTGTTCTTACATGCCGCTCGCTGGCATGCTCAGCAATGTTGGAGCCAGTTGTCTGTGCTCTTGACTCCTTGTTTGGCAAAGAGTGTTGCGCCCAGTTGCCAATTGTTGAGTTTGCGTGCAGTTCATGCCTTCTTGCTGCAAAGTAGCATGGCTGCGTCTGCCACGGAGTCAGCGTCCAGCGAAGAGTTTTCTTGTTTGTCTGTTTGCACCGCGCTGGAATTATAGGCTCAATATGGCTCAATTACCGGCTGCGCTGCGAGCTGCATTTTCTACTAACGACAGGTTGCCGGAGGTTGAAATCTCGTACGAATTGTGCTTGGATGAAGCAGACCGCCAGATTCTGGCCACCTTGAGCTCCTCAGCTCAATCTTTGACCAGCTGCCGGCTCGTGTTAAAGATCGTGCAGTGCTGCAGCAGAAATGCAGGGCCAGCTTGGATCCTGCCTATCAGTACCTTGCCCTTCTGCGTTCTCAGAAGCATCTGGCCCAGGGCGTTAGCCCCACCTTGCTTCAGTGTCCGCAGACCTATATACTGGATGTATTCCCGTGCTTGTCTGACCTTGTCCTCGGCAAATTCATTGCCTGCCTCCCTATCCTGTCCGGAAGTGGCACTCACAAGCCTGCTTGCAAATTGGTTCTCCTTTTGCAGCAGATCTGCAAAAGGGCTTGTCAGCCACTTGGTTTAAACGAAGCAAAGACCCTGGCTGCTGCCCTGGAGAAGGCGTGCGCATCACCCGAGCTCCTGAACTTGCATGTCTTGATGCCTTTCACGGCCTCGACAGAGTTTCTGTCGGTGGCAGCTGACGACCTGACGAGTGGTTCAGCCGCGGCGAATGCAAGGGCAAAATGAAGTTCGGGAAGTTCTTCCCCTTCCCGAAGACCAAGATGGGTGATGCCAAGTGTATTTGCTTCCAGTTCAACAATGGCAAGTGCAGCGATCCGAGCGCCAGTGGCTTAGGACATGTGTGTCAATTTTGCCTTGTGCTTGGTCATGGGAAGAAGCAGTGTCCACAAAGTCGGATGCCGCCGCCCCTGACCAACCGTCTGCACCGGCAGCAAACTTGTCTGAGATTGCTCGGCCAGTCAGTCAGTGGCAGCGGTCGCCTGAGCAAAATGATGTTGCTGACTGCCCCACACATTTGAATGCTGTGCAACGGTTTCCGTTGCTTCAGGGTTCATGATGCGCACGTACCTTGCGGCTCCTCACCCTGGCTAATGTACGGTGCAGTCCACATCAGGATTTGCAGGCACTCGTAGAGACCTGGGCGTTCGAACACGACACGCGCGACCTAGAGCCGCGCTTCTTCGGCCCCCACCAGTCCTCTACACACAGCGGCTCTGCTTTAGACGAGAGGCTGATGGTACGATTACGACAATCAGGTATTCCATCACACCAATAGTCAAACTTAATTGGTTTTAGAGTTCAGGTCCCGACGTTTGATAATGGCATCGAGACAGACCTGACGGCATGCGTGCCACGCTCAGGGGTGTACCACCTCGGAAACACGCCGAGGACAGGGCACTGCCGTGCATTCGGAGTAGCATTCAACACCGAGGAGACCGATGCAGAAGAGACAGCGAGTGCCGTACAGTCGCCCGATGATGATGTGCTCGCTGCACCAGCTTCGCCACATGATGCTGAAAGTATCACAGCGAACTGGTATGTGCGGCTCTTCGGAAGCCTGTAACACACGACGCCCGCTGAAGACAGCGGAAGATTCCCGGCGTGCCAATTTTGGCCGTGCCAAGGGTGCGAATCGTTGATCAACGAATGCGTTTGAGTGAAACATGATGTGCCGCTTCGTGGAGATGTAGCGAGTGGTCTTTTCTGTGCATGGTTCTATTCGCAATTCGTTCATCCGCTCGATGCCAACGGTAGTGGCTCGATTGAAGGATGTTGGATTTCTTGATGTTTGTTGCCTCGATCGGCTTGGGGATGTTCGGACGATAGGTTTCACTTGAAGGGCTCATTGGATCTGCGGTCGTTCGACTTACCCCACGTTGCTGTCGAGCAAAGCGGGTGCGTGGCTGTGTGCGAACGGCTGGTTTCTCAATTGACGGTCAGGGTTGTTGGAATTTACGGGTCTTTTTTGTCTTCAGTCGATAGAGCAGCTGTGATTCAGGCCACTTCGCGCCAGGCGATCGTCCAAAATTTTTGATCCCATTTAATGATTTGATTGTGCGTGCTTGAATGTTCGTTCATCGTTCATCCGCTCGATGCCAACGATTACGGCTCAAGCGCATGTTGGATTTCTTGATGCCTGTTGCCTCGATCGGCTTGCGGATGTTCGGGCGATTGTTTTCACTTGAAGGATTCATTCGATCTGCGATCGCTCGAATTACCCCGCGTTGCCGTCGAGCAAAACGGGTGCATGACTGATTTTCAGCTCAGTGAGTTTTCAAGCGGTATCGTTGGTTAAGGACTGTACTATACTATAACCTATTGTTTACATTCTACGAGTTTATATTACTTCATATTACATTTTTTACATCATGTGACATTTTATGATATTATGTCATATTACATTAATGTATCTTGCTTACCATTGTATTCGTATTGCAATGCATGATACTACTTCAGTTTGTAATAGAGCGTAGGATAGTACAGTATAGTATAGCATAGTACAGTATAATATAGTGTAAAAGAAGTATAGTTTACAGTTTAAATTACGTTAATACTTAGCTTTACATTTCTATGTTACATCACATTGTATCATATCATGTAATATTATGTCAAATCACTACATTGTATTTAGTTAGATTAGGCTAGATGAGTTGTAGTATGTTATGGCATATTTTATCTTACGTCTGTAGATGCGCAAATCTTTGCATACAAAGGTACGCGGACATGTGCAATGTATGTACATACATATATATGCTCGTACTGTTGGAAGCCAAAGCTGGAGTGCCAGAACCTGTTTTGCAACTTGCCAAACTTGGACAGGCATAGGTGTCCTGTGTTTTCCTATGCATCTACACATGCAAAAGTTTAGAGGTATCGACACACATACACATTACCTGCATGCATGCATAGCCCGAACAGCAGTTTCAACAAACCCTCACTGATCACAGGCACACAAATACGTCTACATGTCCAGATGTATGTAACGATATGTAGTTGGACTTCTGTGCAACTATATACCTTTACATATGTTTGTCGATGCATATGCATATACGTTCGATCTTTTGCGCGCGTCTGTACTGAGACTTGGTTGACCGGTTGTGCGTATGTATGAAGTTTTTTCTCTGTATGCATGTATTCATGTTCTCTTTCGTGTATACTCTGCATGGGTATCTGCTTTTTCTGTATAAAGGTGCATATGAATGTTTGCAGCACAGGTATGTGTGTGTGTGTAGGCATGTTCTACATGTATATCCAGATATGCATCCCAACAGGAAGTAGTCTGTAGCCGAGTTTATTTTCATGATTGTTTCGATTTGAAACTCCCGTGACGCAGTCTGCATATCATTTGTACACTGCATGTTACAGTGTTACAGTTCAACTTCATGAGCCTGTCCGCACATCTCGGCAGGTCCAAGCCTGGTCTCTTGACGGAAGAGGCCTTCGAGTCTTCCTTGGCATCACAGCTTGCGAAGGGCTGGGCGCGGACAGGTCCGAGGGAAAGTCGTGAAGAAAGTTGTCCCGGTGTTTGTATGTTTCAAAAAGTTTTCAGAAGCTTCGCGTTCGTCGTTCTACTTTTGAAAGGTTCCATCACGCTTCTGCAGTCGGCCAGACAATCGGGGATCTTGGAGCCGTTGGCAGTTGTTTGCGCACGCCTTGTGCCAACAGAGGGTGCGCGTGTGGCTTAGCATTCTTGTGGCCAAGCTTTTCCATCATGGCAGAATGCGTAGAGGTGTCAAATAGGCTGCATGTTATCCCAGGACAGTTTTCCGCATCTTTCAGGTCAAGCGAAGCACCTGCGAAGCGCTTGAAGGCTTGGGATCGCTTGTAGCATCTTGTAGCCTGCAGTGCGTGCGTTTACACCTTTCAAGCTAAAGTTCCTCGCGCAGACGGCCTCAACAAGCCCTATTTTCGCCGCGGGCACAACGGGCACATCAGGACAAAACGGTGGCAAAGCTGACCAGGCATCCGGCATGCTGAGGATTCTTGCTGTTTGCTTTCTTCATGTTTGCCAGCGTGCCTGCGCAGGTGCGGCTGCGACAAATCCTGCTCAGAGTAGCCGCTGCTGGCCCACCTGTCACAGATCCTGTTCGGCGGAAGCAGGTGCAGCTTGTGGTATCAAAGCTGTGTGCAGCTGACGCATTGGAGGTGAAGCGCTCTCAAGAACAGGCAGAAGCTGAGATGCTCGACATCTTGCAAAGCCTCGAGGCAGACAGCATGAAGAGCTTTCAGAGACTGAGGCTACGTTATTTTTGTCCTGCCTTTTTTTGTAACGAAGTTTCGATTTTCCGTCTAAGGAAAGTGTGCCGCGAGAGATCTGAATGCCAATCAGCGCTCAAGGGAGGGGAACTCGCTGGAGACATGGGCTGGCTCGATCGCGTGAAGGGTGTTGGCATCCAGCAAGACCGCGCCAAGCAAGGCGAGGCTTGTTCCGAGTGATCCCCCGTGGGCCAGGACCCCCCGTCTGTTACCAAGGTGTGCGGCCGCAAGTTCCAGCAGCAGTGTTGAAAGCATCTTGGCCGTCACTGCTTCAACGCGGGCTATGGTGTCCACATTCGGGAAGCTCAGGCTGCCTTTGAGCTTGCGGTCGGCGAGGCTCGAGCTGTTCTCCTTGCTGTCTCTGCGACCATGAGTATCGTGACACTTTCAAAAACTGAGTTTCGGAGTCTTGGGCCCAATGATGTCCACGCACTGGCCAGGTCCACGATTTGGTCACAACAGAAGTTGGTGTGCATCTTCTGCAACGCACTGCCTAGTGACCATCCCAAAAGACGTTGGAACGATGTGAGGCATAATAGGCACATCCATGTACATAAGGGCAGTAGCGTCACCCCCTACAGGGGCCACAACATCCATCAAAAGCATTGCACTAACGATTGCCGGTTCCTGGCAGAGACGCTCTACTGACCGCCTCGGCTTTGAGATGCATGCGGCTGCATTCTCGAGCTCTCAGTGTATGTGCTGCTTCAGATCAGCGAACAATGCACGGTCGGTTGCAGCTCGGTTTCACGTTTCGCAGCGTGCAGTGTAAATATGTGAGCTGAAAGACCGAATCTGGTGCCGGTGAAGTTTGCAATCTCGCAATAGTTCACTCCTGGTTGGCAGCACAACTTTTCTTGCGATTCTTGCCCTTCTGACAAGTTTGCGTCAAGTGTGCAAATGTAAGTCCACGCATTCCAGAGTCACGTGGAAACACAAATGACTTCATCTTGATTTCGTAGTCTGAGCGACTTGTGTTGCTCATGCTTGATCCAGAGGCTCCAAGAAGTCAGTCTCGAGCACTGTGCCATCGCACAATATCGCGCATGCTTTGCGCATGAGTGGCCTTTCGAGAAGCTTGGGCCTTGCTCGCAAAAATTCAACACGGAGCCGTACAACGACGCTTGGATGCAGATGTGCGGCAATTTGCAGGTTGCAAAAGCGAGAAGACATGTGTCTGCACCGCATGTCTCATCGTGTCTGCGCATCTCTGTGTGGTCCTGAGTGTAACACTGAGGGCACTTATGATGCTTTCGTGAACGACTTGCCTCCCGAGGCTGCCGGAAAATGCCTGTGCTCCTGCTCCTGCTACTACTGCTTTTGCTGCTACTACACTGCCAGGTCGCAGGGTTGATCCAACCCCCCGAGACTTCAGCCTTGCTCGTCGCACGGCACTCAGATCCGCTTGCGGCTCATGTCACTGCGCGTCCAGGGCGCCAAAGCCCCGCGAATTTGAGCAGGACTTCCAAGCGTTGCATCTCTCGGGAGGGCCGAGTTGCCTGCGCAAAGGTTCTTCTTTGGCCTGAGCAGCTGCAGCCCGTTTCACCTTCGGAACCCACTGCCACCACCTCAGCGACTCAGCGGTCTCCCGGCTCAATAATGCACTGCTCTTAGGAGGAGCTCCTTGCATGGGAGGACGCGGTGTGCCAGAGCGAACAGGCGCGGCCCGAGATTTCTGTAGGCTCGTCGCGTGCACAGTGTGCAGGATGTCAAGACTTCTGAAGAAGTACTTGGCATCCAACCCATGCAATGTGCTCCAGCTGCCGAGAAGGCAGACTGGCGCAGATCTGCACGGTTGGCTGGTCAAAGCGTTCTTGCTTTTCACCTGCGAGTATTGGCCTGCTATGGCCTGCTGCCCTGCTGGAAGGGAGCCAGCCGTCCGGAAGCTTCAAAGGAACCCTCTGGCTCACCTTCAAGAGGTGGCGTGCGCCGTGTACATTCCCTGATGAGCACATCTAAGTCGACAGCATTCCTGGATCAGGTGAGGGGCCAGAAACGGCAAAGCCGAAGGAAAAGACGCAAGCAACAGCCAAGGCTAAGGCCAAGGCCAAGACCAGAGCCAAGGCAAAACCACAAAGCAAGTCTCAGCAGGGCTCAGGCGGGTCGAGACCGAGAGACGCCGCCAGAGAGTTAAGAGATGTTTGGAGAGAGAAAGAGGCCCGGGCCCGCCGGGCTCGCCGGGCCGTCTTGAGCGTGCTCAAGGACCGGGTCACGGCCTTGCCTGGGCCATGCCGCTTGTCTTTGCCGCTCTACCGTGCTGTGCAGTGCACATCAAGATGGATGCGAGCGCCGCAAGGGAGCAGGGTTCGAGGCCAGCGAGGGCTTAGGCCTGAGATCGCCTCTGAAGAGAAGTTGCTCTGAAAAGGCAGATGCTCGAGGCCACGAAGGCAGGAGCGTATGGCGTGTAAAGGCAACAGATCGCTGCAGTGATTCAGGCGAACAAGGAGCCCCTGGACTGGGTAAGGAGCCGCGAGGAGAGAAGCTGAGCGAAATTGAAGCGTGTTATGTTCCCTGGCTTTCGCCTTGGTCGGCAGGCCATGGTGCCCGACACCATCTTTGTGAATTTGAGGCCAGTGCAGCTGGGCAAAAGCGCCGATTCACTGTCTGGTTGCTTGAGCTGCCCGTTCGGCCTCCTCCTCACCACCACCACCACCACCATCCGCAGCAGCAGCAGCAGCAGCAGCATCATCATCATCACCACCATCACCATCACCATCACCATCACCATCATCATCATCATCATCATCGCCATCGCCATCGCCATCGCCA